TGTGAGGATGTGAAGTTCCTTACTTAAAGAATACTGAGACTTACTTTTCTCCAGGCCCAAAACAACAGGCTGTTTTATTCAGGAACAAACACCTAAAAACTGGGGGGAGAGGGGACAGGACAGTAACTCTGAAACAACAGAGGGTGGAGTTCTAGCTCTCAAGCTCCATCCCATTATAATAAGGACTAACAATTTAACCCTATAATTACCCAATTACTATATTCCTCCCCTGTTAATTTGCAACCGGGAGATAATCTTTCAAATAACTAGGAGCTCTCTGATCTCTGGCTGGATAAGGTTGGTTCATAAGCAGATGTGGTCCTGCTGTTGTGTCACCTTTTGGCCATTACTGACTCCATTTTAAAAGATAAGGGTCGTATTTGTTCTTGGATCCTGCCTACAATCCTAGTAGGTTGGTGGGTACTGAAACTTTTTTGTCTAAACAGGATCCCACCCCCCCAACACTCTCTATTTAGTGTGATAATCATGGTTGTGCTTTTGAAGGGTCTGTTTTTTCCATACTTCTTCCTTTATGTTGGGATACAGTAAATCCAAATGAGTCCTGATCCTCCTTCCCATTAATATCTGGGCAGGGCCCATGTCTGTGGTGGTTTGAGGTGTAACTCGATATTTCAAAAGGAATTGAGTCAATTTTGTCTCCAAACTTCCTCTGGTCATTTTTCTCATCCCTTCTTTGAAGGTCCTCACGGCTATCTCTGCCAGACCATTCGAAGCTGGGTGGTATGGTGACGTTTGAATGTGCTTAATTCCATTCTTACTAAGGAACTCCTTAACTTCATGACTAGTGAAACTTGGGGCATTATCCGTGACCAATACCACAGGCAATCTGTGCGTGGCAAAAGTCTGTCGAAGCTTGTTACAGGTTGCTTCTGAAGTTGTGGAGATCATGGGGCACATTTCCAGCTATTTTGAATGAGCATCCGTTATGATCAAACACATTTTTCCTAATTAGGGACCAGCATAGTCTATGTGCAGATGAAACCAAGGCAGGTCCCCAACTGCAAGTAATTGTTTTACATTTTGACATCACCGGCTCCACAAACAAATCTGGCTCTCGAACATATCCTTTAGGGCATTTCCAAAAGAGCAGTGTTCAGTTACCTTTTTGAGCTCAGCAATTTACTCTAAGATAGATGCACCTTCCTTCCTCATTCTGTTATGGGATTGGAAATGTTTTACAATAGTGTTTGGTTTTGGAGTATAATGCTCAGATAAAATCTTTTGCATTTATGCCAAACGTTTATCTCCTGGCTTTTGAGGTTGCAACAAACTTTTTAAAAGGGAATATGCTTTGCTGCCACAAACACTGTGAAATATTGCCTTCTGTTTGTCACTGGTTTCATTAGCTTGAAAATAATGGCTCAATCTCTCAATATATTGCTGCCAATCCTCAGTGTCTGGATTAAATTCCACAATTTTTTCCCATAGGAAGACATAGTTAGATTTTTTTCATCATCACTATTAAGTTCCTTACTTGACAAATAATACTGAGACTTACTTTTCTCCAGGCCCCAAACAACAGGCTGTTTTATTCAGGAACAAACAACACCTAACTGGGGAAATGAAAGTAACTCTGGAACAACAGAGGTTGGAGCTCTCAAGCTCCATCTCATAATAACGACTAACAATTTAACCCTATAATTGTCCAATTATGGCACCTCTACTCAGGGCCAGCGGCAGAATAAGCCCCTACCTGCTGCGAGGGAACTAGCCCCCGGCACAGAGCAGAGGTGATGGCGGCTAGGTTGGCCAGACCATAGTTTCTCAACCTCTGGTACATGTACCCCTGGGGGTATGCAAGACACAAGCAGGGAGTACGTGGGTACCCCAACGCTCTCTCTCTCTTGCCCTCTTTTCCTCTCTCTCACACCCCTTTCTCCTCTCAAAACTATAGGAAAGAAATTGGTGCACCGCTTTAAAATCCCCATTAATAATTTGGTGTGCCACGGTTTGTGCCCCCCCCAGCTTTGGCCAACATCACCTCTAGCCCAGGTACATACTTGAGTTGTGCACCCCTGGTGTAAAAGGTGGCAACCCTACCCACACCAGATCAGACATCTGTCATATCATGGCATTGTAAACGCAGCCCTTCTTCCAACACATTAGTCTGCAAATATAAAATCCCTGGGAAAATTGAGTGTTGGGGTGCTTACTAAAATTTTCAGCAGTTACGGGGTACTTGCTACTTAAAAGGTTGAGAAACACTGCCATGTGAGTGGCGGCTGTGTTTGAGGCCAGCTCCCTCCTGGCAGGTGGGGACTATTTGGTGTCCTCAGGTTCATGGAATGCCATCAATGTCTTTGGGCTGCCGATAGGTGGGCAGACGGCGTGTCATCATGGCGTCCGGATCTCTGTCGAGGTCTGGACAGATGTTCTTTGATGTTTCACATTCTTAAAAGCAGCTAGGGGCCACCACTGGGTGGGGACTTCTTCTGCCACTGTCCCTGAGCACAGGCCAAGTGACAGCTGCAGGCTGCAGTGCCAGTGGCAGAATAAGCCCTCTCTTACCAAGAGGGGAATTGCCCCAGCCAGGGCCATCCCTAGGGGTGGGCAAGTGGGGCAGCTACCCCGGGCCCCGTGCTTTTGGGATCCCCACGGATAGTGCCATACAGTCCCCATCGTGGCTGCTGTGCACCACCAGCTGCAGAGTGTGGCCGCATGCTGCCACCCCATTTCCACCTCCACAGGCTGATATGCACACCCCTAGGGACAGCTCCAGCCCTGGCACAGAGTGAGCAGCAGGGGCTGGCTTGCCAAGCCCAGCAGCTGGAGTGGTGGAGCGGTAGAGGTGAGTGACAGCCCCTTCCTGGCAGGGCCCGCACTGTGGGGCTGGCAGAACTGCTGTGCCACACAGCGGCACTGCAGGGTGGGGGGGACGGACTCTGGCCCACTTGGGACCCCAGCGCTGCATGCAGCCAGCCGCAGCTGTGCTGGCCCCGCAACACAGCCCCTCACCAGGAAGGGATCACGCTCCCCTAGAGTGTGACAGGGCCCTGCCCCCTCCAAGTGCAGCGATGGGGAGGGGGTACAGCCAGTCAGTGTCCCTGGGGGGGCAGAGGTGGGGGTTATTCCTCCTCACTCTGGGCCTCCATTGGAGGGGCAGCCGGGGGCCTATTTCAGGCAGGGAGCGAGTGCCGTGGTCACGGTGGGTAAACCCAGCTGCCAGTGGGATACAGGGGAAACTAGCTCTGCTGCCTGCCCCCGTCTAACTTAGGGGCCATGGTGCCCCCCTGCTGCAGCAGCGAGGTGGGAGTACGAGCAGACCCAGCTCGGGTCCCTGCCAGTTGCACAGGAAGGGCCAATTACATCCTTCTCTGGCCAGTTCAGCCTGGGTTGGCCACTCTCCTGCCCTGTTTGTAGGAGGGGATGAGAGTGGTTAGACAAGACCTACCTACGATGAAGCCGTGCTGGCTGGCATTCAGAATCTTACCCTCAATGAGCGTATCACATTTAGATTCTTTAATGAGTTTTTCCAGCTACAACTTTGGGTGGTGGCAAGGTGCAGCAGGGCTGGGGAACAGGGGCATGAGCAGGGTATCCTGCCGTGTACCCACTGCCCCCATTTGGTTTTTCTGGCATGCCAGGACTCCAGCACCTTCCAAGGTAGGCATTGTAGAGGTTTTTTGCACTCCGGCCAAAAAATGTTGCCTACCCATGTAGTACCACCTAGAATGCCTATTAATCTACAAACTAGTGATGGCAGCCGGTATCTCGGGAGGTGTCACAGCCAGCTTCTACCAATCTCAAATCCTGTAAGAGACCCCAGATGTTCACTCTCTCCTTCCTGGACTGTTCATCTTGAAAAGTGTTGGACTTATCTACCTGCTCCCCTGACATGTCCCTATGTCATGGAAACAGTTCTGAGATAAAAGGACCTGTGTACTTTGGAACCTAAATCCCCTTGGATTGCCCTGGAACTAGGCTGCTCCCCACCCACCCCAGCAGTCTTAGCTTATGTAGTCCTATTGACATCTTTGGGGGCCCAATGAAGGCCAGGTGTATTGGGTGTTAACCGATCAATTTAAAAAGCATCACAGGTACACTCAGAGATTGACATCTTTGCAGCCCCTCCCCCCCGGCCATGAGGTCAGTGCCCAAACAAGAGAGGTTAGACTAACCTGGGGCAACCAGGTTGACAGACAGGTGAGAGAACAGGACACATGACCTGCAGTCCTGGGAAACTTGAGACAAAGAGGTGCAGGTCCCCCCTCCCTCAGGAATGTCTTCAGCCCTGTTACTTTGGAGACCAGGTGCCTCCAAGGTTTGTGAGCAGAGGGGGACAGGCAGGCAGAGAGGCTGATTCCTCCACACAGGCCACCTAAATATATTTGGGCATCTGTCCCCTGGTGCTGTCCTTGGAGGCACAGAGTGTATAGACATCCCTGGCTGCCTTCAGGCCTGGTTAGATTTGCAGGAAGGAAAGCAGACATCAGGACATCTGGTTTGTAGCAGAAAACGGATGTTCCTCTTCTCTCTCCGTGACCAGATCAGAGTTGGGAGCAGGGTCAGGCTGGTGAGGGGCCCTGGCTGGTGCAGTATTCAGCTGACACGAGCATTGAGCTTTGCAACCTGCTAGTAAGTGGGATGAAGAGAGCCCGAACCTCTGCACTGATGACCCCCCTCTCTGTGTGTCTGTCCAATGCAGACTTCTGATGATCAGTCCCAACACTGATGATTGGTGGAGTCCCTGTGTGACCAGGCTGTGATAAGGACTCCAGGGCGTGGGGGCCAAAAAGAACAGAGCAGTGGAGCCTATACCTCGAGTGCCTTGCAGTCCTGTGTCCTGGGGCTCCTAAATGGCCACATCTCACTTCAGTTGCTGGACAGTACTGACAAGCCCTGACACACAGAAGGGCAGATGAGTCGGTCTGAAACAGATGTCCCTTCCATGCATGTCCTGCTGCAGGTAAATATGGTGCCAAGTAAATGTTCTTGCTCTGGGGAGACACGTTTTTGTATGGGCACTCCATTGCCTTGTGTCACTGTGTTCTTATGATCCCTGCTCCCTTGGCACAGTAGTACGTGGCTGTGTCGGCTGCTCCTATGTTGTTCAGTTGCAAATACACCCGGTTATTAGAGTTGTCCCTGGTGATGCTGATTCGGTTCCTGAAGGCTGGATTGTATTGCAGGTTTCCATTCCCTTGGATATGCCCCAGCCACTCCAGACCTTTGCCAGGACGCTGTTGGACCCAACTCCAAGCGTGATCCCAAATGGCAGCACCATAGACAATGCACGTGAGCGAGGCAGACTCTGTGGGCTTCACCAGCTCCGTTCCCTCCTGCTCCAGCCGCACCTCAGAGACGCCCTCTGCAAGAGATGCACAGAACAGGTAAGACCCTGAGACTACTGGTCCATGAGACATCCCTCCCAGTGCTACCCACTGTGAGGGCAGGGGGTATCTAGCTTAGGGCTCAGCCCAGCCCTGATGAGGCCCTCGGGGGTTATGGAAAGGGATGAGCACTGACCTAAGGGCAGGGCCAGGAGGGAAAGGACAACAAGGAGCAGATGCATGGTGGCTTTGACCTGAGGGCTTCGCTCAGCTGCTGGGATGGGGCAGTGATGAGACGCCGAGGGGCCCGGTATGTATGGGGTGCGCTCAGCTTAGGGATTTGCATAGGGATGGGCCCAGGCAGTGGCAGTACAAAAGCTGCCAGAATTATCTGGCTCAGTGCAGCTCAGCCCATCCTGCTGCAGGGACAACAGGAGTTGGAGCAGCCTCAAGAGCCAGCTCCTCCTTCACTGCTTCTCAGCAGACAGAGCTCAGTACAGATGGGGAGAAGGGGCTCAGGGGTGTGGGACACAGGCAGGAAACACACTGCCCCAGTCAGCGGTGCAGATGGGAGAGCTGCCTGTGTCCACTCCAGCCTGTCTGTCTGTCCACCCCTCCCCTTAGGGCCTGACAGATGACTATTCCTTGCTCTGTCTGTGTCCTTTAGTCCCAACTCAGATCTCTACTGAGTGCCAGTGTGCCACACTGCATTATGGCAGATTGTGAGCCCAGTTCCTCAGAAAGCACCCAACTGGGTCCCCAGAAGGGGTTGGAGTGGACAGGGTCTCAATACACAACCAGTGGCACCATGCACTATACCCCCCCTCCTGCAGAGCCAAATTAGACCAGGTCCCTTGGGTAATTCCCACAGCCATCTTGCTGTGTGGTTGGCCTCCATCATACTCTGATCAATGGGGCTGACCTGGGTTCTAGTCCTGGATGTGACCTTGAGTAAATCTCAATACCTCTGTGCTCAGTGACCCTGCTCTTGTCTCATCCTGTTTATAAGTTCCTTGTGACAAGGACAGCTTCTTGCTACTGGAGTGTGCAGCATCCAGCAGCACAGTTCTGCATGCAGGTGGGGTGTGCTGGCCATGCGCAACATGAATGATTAATGCTCCTCAACCATTGTGAAGGTCCTAGTCTGGGTTAATTAGACAGGGCACCCATGGCACAAAACAGTGCTTTTAAAGGCTGGTATTTCAGAGCTGCTGAGAGGGGAAGGTGTGTCCAAATCCTCTTGATTTCTAATGGTAACTCAGTGTCAAAATCCATTGGGTTTATTTTGAAAAGCATGGTCTAAATAAGCATCTGTCCCAATGCCTATAAATGAAGTTCAAATGCTTGAGAAAGCATGACCAGGAGCTCCCGTCCTCTGGAAGCGTGCATTTTCTGGGATTCCCTAAGGTCCTAGGAGGACTGACTGAGTGCCAGTTCCTGTAAGGGGTTACAGTTGCTCAGAGCCTCTCTTGAAGAAATCCCAGGCCCAGAAATCTGAATAAAATCTCCAAATTCAGTCTTTGTACAATGCTACCTCATTGTATCATGGGAACTTTCCCTTTTGAATGGATCAAGTTGGCACCATCAAGACATTTCTTTCTTTCTTTCATTACTTACTGGACATTTGTCTGTGGGACAGAAGAAAAGAACTCTTGGAACTTTTGTTCTATTATTGTTATTAATGATAATGTTAATGACACCTTTTGAAAGAGGGTCTGAGATTAACAGGTCCCTGGGGGAGTTTTGTTAGACACTGGCTAATCTGTGTCTGTGGCAGAAAGCCACCTTTGTCTCGCCCCCCAAAAACTCTGCCCTGTGACAATTTGATTAGGGTGGGCCCAGCAGAGGATACACACCTTTACCCCATCTCTTTAGGTAACCTGAGCTGGGTACATTCCTGATGGAGGGGGGAAACCTGCTCCATCTGCCTACGTGACTAGTATCTGGGAGTTGGTCTAGATTATGCTTTGGGGTCCCCTTGGTTCGGCTGACTAAGAGAGACCACTACTTGTGCTTCCGACTGAGGGAAGCATCCCAACGTCTTGAAGCGAATCAGGTACCCTTGAAGACTACTAGGCCTGTGTTTCCCAGGGTGCGCAGAGCCAGAATGAAGTCCAGAGCTCTGGGTGGTGGCAGGGGACCCCCCAGGCTAGCGGGTGTGCTTTAGGAAGGGGGTCGGCCAGATGTGAGGTGCCCCCAGGGAGGCACTCAGAGTCTGGAAGGTGGACGAGCGTAGTAAGGTGGTTGGCTCAACACAGGAGCGCCCCTACCGGCCCACCGCAGTGTCCTCATTCACACAATCTCCTATCCTCTTTCCCCCTTCCCAGCTGAACATGTGTGCACCCTCCTCTTCTAATCTGTGCTTAATTACCTGGGGGGTTCTTGCCTGCTTCCCTGACAGGCAGTAATAGCCTGGGCTCTTGTGTCTGTCTCTGTGTAGGGTAAAGCCTCCGGACTGTATCCAATTTCAAATCCTCTAGCAGACCCTAGTTTCCTACAGCTTTCTCCCTGAGACAACCAGCATCATTTTGTCCAGATTTTCCTGTGCAACCAGAATTAAAGTGAGAGTGTAATGAGTGATTTAGGAACAATAAGCATAAAATTAAAATTGGTTTGAGTGGGAATCTAGTTCTCAGATCCCTTTAGAGATTCCGGACAAGACAGACACTGAAGGTAATCCTAGGTGAGATCTCGCTAGGGTGTCCAAGGCCCCTGGATCAGCAGGACACCTGGCTTCTTTTTAGGTGGGTTTTTGTCTTGCTGTACATGGAGCATGTCTCACTGTGCAACATGCACAGTAACACATGGCTGTGCTGTTGTCTTCAGACTGCTACGCTGCAGGTAGAGAGTGTTGATGGAGGTGGCCCTAGAGATGGTGAATCGATCTTTGACAGCCTCAGCATACCAAGTGCCAGCAGAATGGGAATCAACTCTTTAATCCTTTCCTGGACAGTTGATATATCCAGATCACGTTGTAGTCGGTGAATGTGTAGCCAGAGGTTTTACAGCTCAGCTTGGCCGACTCCCCAGACTTCTTGACTTCTGCCCCAGACTGTGTCATCTGGATCTGGGAGCTGACACCTGGAGGAAAAGATCAAGGGAGGAATATAAATACGATCCCCCCCCCGCCCTTTTTTTTTCATTTTTTCCTCTCATGTATATACAGGTCTGTCTATATTTGTTCATGGGAGTCATTAAACTGCTTCTATCTTGTTTCATTTGCATCACAGCCAAATGGGGCACAAGTACTCGTGTACTGACAAGACAGAAGGGCACAGGGAGGCTCTGCTTGGGACTCACATTACTTAATGGATTTGGACACCAAATCCCCACCCAAACGACTGCTTGGTACCCAAGTTTCCCAGATGGGACTGGGAACACAAACCTAATTCACAGCTCTGGGCTGTGATGAGGATTCCCTCCCTGCCCTCCCAGACCCACTCTTCTAACCAGATGGCTGTACCTCTCCTGCACTTACATGAGCAAGCTGTCAAATAAAAGCAGCATAACTAGACCCATCCTCTCCATGCCCAGAGGCCTGTACAGACTCTGATCTCTTTATTCCTCTGCTGGTGGATTTTCCATGGCATCAGCTACTCTCCTTTATCAGAACAGTCCCTTTCTTATTTGCATGTCGTTACCACTAATCATTTTCATGAATCTCAGCTGCTACTTTCCATGCCCTTACATGATGCCCTAGCCCCCGGGGCTGGCAGTGTTAATGGATCCTGATTCAGGAGCACCCAAAAAAACATTGCCCTCAAGGAGAGAGAATGATGGGTTTCATGTTAATCTGGAAGACCATGTGTCCAGGGATTTCTTGGACTGTGGTATCCACTACAAATGCAGTTGGTATCCCTGAGATGCAAAGAACACGAGCCCACTGCCATAGAAAAGCTTGTTTTCTTCTGGGATTCCTGAGGTTTCCAAGGGGAACTAAATGCTGAGTTCCCATTTCTTGAAGAGGAGATGTGGGTGCTCAGAGCCACACTTGGGAAACCACAGCCTCAGTAGCTTGAAGAGAATGAAATCAGAAAGGCTGGACCCTCAGTTCCATCATCTTAATGAGTTTGCCCCCAGTTTAGCAAGTCAGCTTCCTGCAAGTGTGTGGCCATGCTCTTTTGTTACATAGATCAGTGATTTTCAAACTTGTGAAGTCACACAACCCTTTCATATCACTATTCCTGCCACCACTCTGCCATTACCTCCAATCTCTTTGCAGAACAAACCCCTGATGACCCAGCGCAGAACCCTAGGGTCCCGTGGAACAGTTTGAAAACCCTGGTAAAAGAAGCAGAAGCCCTGTAATTTCAGCTTTCAGAGGACTGGAAAAGGGCCAATGTGGTTCCCATTTTCAAAAAAGGGAGGAAGAAGGACCCAGGGAACTATAGGCGAGTTAGTCTTACCTCGATCCTGGGTAAGCTTTTTGAGAGAATTATCCTGGCAGGGACAGGGGCTGTTGGATAGGAGGGGGATGTGGGAGTGCCCTGCACTGCCTGCCATGTCCTCTGCAGGGAACCAACTGTGAAAGTGCAAGGGCAGATTTTTGTCTGGGCTCAGCCTGCCTTTCCCACACTGTTTCCCTCTTTCACAGTGATACTGGGCCATGTCTTCAGGTCTCAGGCTGTTCATCTGCAGGTAGCCCTTATGGTAGTCAGGGCTGTAACAGTGAGGGAGGGTCTGTATTATTTCATAGTACAATCACTGGCCTGGCCCCAGCAGCCTGGGGGTTTCTTGCTTCATTCAGAAGGTCCCTATTCTGGGATAGAAGTGACAGCATTTCCCAGCTGGGCTGAGGGAGGGCTGCCTCCAGAAAGTGTGTGTCCAAGGTACTTGTTATACAGCTGCTTATGTGGGCACAGATACAGTTGGGGTATGGGGCTTAAAAGCAGCAGGGCCCATTGCAGGAAGGGGGGCAGTTTTTGAGCTGGTGAATATTTTTCTTTGAGCTTTCTAGGGAATTGGGGAAAGGTGGACCATAATGATTCTTTCCTCTGTCTGGCCTAGCATGTGTCTTTATGGGCACCTTCAGTCTGTGTGGAAATAGAGGGATTTCTGTCCTAATACCACCACTCTATTTTATGATTCTGGGAAATCTCTTGGGGACTCCCTGGCTGCATTTCTTGGGCAGCATTTTCACTCTTGGGGTCCCAAATTAAGGCACCTGGAAGTTGAAACTCCCACGGCACAAGCACCACCCTGCTCAGGTGGGTTATTTGTCGTGAGCCCCTGGAGCTCCTATTACCAGTGGGCTGAGACACATCCTTCTCTTCAGCAGTTGTATTGATTCAGGTGCTTACATATTGCTCTGGGGACTTGAGCGGCAAGTCTCTGGGTTATATGATTGTGGCTGCTCAGCTCACTTTGGATGAGACTGCAATATGCACAAGGCTCAGAAATGTCATCTGGGACTCAGGACACCTGCAACTACTGAAAAGGAGGCTCCAACTGCTCTGGATATGATGATGACAGATATTAAGTTGTGATCCTGACAGGAAATGGAAGAGTTAAATCTTTCTGCTAGACTTTTTCCCTCCATAGCAGTGCCCTGTCCCCATTCCTGTCCCAGGACTGTGTTGCTACAGTCACTGGTGCCCTCCTGTGGGCACTGGGGAAAAGGCTGCACTCATGGTTTTTTCATTTGGTCTAAGAGGAGTTGCCTCACTGTGTGTCTGGTACAGTAATACAGGGCTGTGTCCTCAGGTTTCAGGCTGTTCATCTGCAGGTGCAGCAGATTCTTTGGGTTGTCCCTGGAGATGGTGAATCTCCCCTTCACCGAGTTAACGTAGTTTATGGTACTCCCAGCCCAGTAACTAATCTTGGCAACCCACTCCAGCCCCTTCCCAGGAGCCTGTCGCACCCAGCTCATCCAGTAATCTCCAAAGGTGAACCCAGAGGCTTTGCAGGAGAGGCGCAGAGAGTCTCCAGGCTTCCTCACATCTCCGCCAGATTCCACCAGCTGCACCTGGGACCAGGTACCTGGGAAAAGAGATATATCAATGATGTGAATCTCGCCTGCAAATGCTCCAAGGCTCCATGGTGTCTCATTGAGTTACAAGTAGAAAATACCTTGCAGAGCTGCTGCCATGAGAATCAAGCTAAGCCATGGGCCCATCTTTCCTGGGGCTGAAGGGCAGAGAGCTCAAGGCACTGGATGAGCACTGCACGGAAGGCAAGCTGTGAATTCTCTCCAGCTGTAGCCTGGGCAGATGGAGACACAGATTTAAGCAGGAAACTGGCACCCCCATTTGCATGTCTTCCTGCTTATATGGAACAAAACCCCCTTGCACTAATGATCAGAGCCATCTGCACTGGGGCAGGGACAGGGACAGTATTTGGGGTTGCACAGTCCACACTAGGGCAGGGCTGCATTGGTTACATCTTTGTAATGGTGAGTGCTGTTAAGAAGAATACCTATTTAAGAAAAGCAACTATTGTTTATTATTTTTAAGAAAGACTCTAGAAATGTTTTGCAAACCACTCTTTGCAACAGCTACAGCTCAGGTCTGTCTGTCTCAGCAATCCTAGCCAGCTCTGAGTAACAAAGTAAACAGCACTAGGTGTTCTTTTCAAGAGACAAGGCACTATTCCCACATCTCCCCTTTTTAAACATCTAGCTTTCTAACTATAGCACAACTTTAATACCATATATTTTTAAAGAAATTACATTATAACATTATTGTGTTCAATAAGCCTTTGTGGTGCTTAGTGTAGTCTGTTTGATCTGCTTGGTGCTGCTTCAGCCTCTTTAGTGACTGAAGCGGGTGTCTCTTCTTGCAGTGCCTCTGTAGTCTCCTCTGAGCAGCTTTCCTGATTCTGCTTGTGTGTAGTCTCCAGCTGTTCATTCCTCCTGTCCTCCTCCCCTTGTTCAGAAATGTGTTGCAAATGTCTCCTGTTACTTCAAAAAGACTATCCATCCTGAGTCAATATGACATAAGATTGGGAAGCAACCTTATGAATAACCTGTACTTTCTGGTCCCAGCTGTCACCATTATAAATACGAATTCCACCATTGGGCTTCAGTGCTTGCAATGCCCATGCCCCTTTGTCATAGTACAATTCTTGTTTAGCTTTGGCCTGGTGCTTATAGCTGTGCAAGTGTCAGGCCTGCGAGTTGTTACTGTCAGCCCATGTAACCTAGTTCTCAACTTTCTGTTACATAAAATCTCAGCAAGGGACAGGCCATATCCTAGGGGAACTGACCTATAATTCAGAATTGCTAAATATTCAGGTGCAGCAGCTGGATCACCACCTGAATCACTGGCTTTCTTTAATAATCACTTTATTATCTTAACATTTTCCACAAGTCCATTAGACTGAGGGTATCTCGGGCTTGATATAACATGCAAACCATAGTCTGTGCAATTTTTTAAAAATTCGTGCCCCAAGAACTGGGAGTCATTGTCCGACATAATCCTATGTAGAATTCCACATCTGGAAAAGCTTGATTTAAGATGCAGTATAATTGGTGTGCAGTCCTTCTCTCTTTAAAGGCTGGCTCAAGCTCCTCTCTCTAATGTGTGTTTGATCACTCTCTGGTCCCCAACCAGCTTTCCTTCATGTGATCTCCCTGCATCATGTCCTTTGTACACTCCTGTAGTGCTCCCCATCTGCCCATAGCCATCTCCATGGCACAACCAGTGACCTTGTTCTGTGTAGTCTTTCCTTGGGACTCTTTGCTGGTCAGCAGGTCTGCAAATGACAGCTTAATAATGGATTTGGGAACTGAGGAGCCTAACATTATGTTCAGCTTGAATAAGACTCTGGGTCCCAAATCCCTGTAGAGACTGATAACTAATACTAATAACTAATAGAGGCACTACTTACACCCCAGGATGAGTACTCACCAGGGCATCCAAGAGGCTCTATAACAGCCAGATGCATCTTTATACAGTTTTTGTCTTGGTCTAGATGGGGGTTGTGTCACTATGTACAAGCACAGTAATACACAGTGGTGTCATCAGCCCTCAGGCTTCTGAGCTGCAAATAGGCTGTGCTGATGGAGGTGTCCCTGCGGCCCAGTTCTTCCCTCTGCAGCTGTGGTGCCCCCAGGACCACCAGCAGGTGTGTGCTGCCTGGAGGTGCCGCTATGGAGGGAAGCACTGCCTCCCCCACTACGCAGCTCAGGGGCCCCTCACCCCACCGGCAGTTCACCCCCCCACACCCTGCCACCAGAGGCAGGTAAGGAGCAGGCCCCACCCTTGTGTATATGCCATGGGAGTTAAGTTCAGTTTAGTTCTCCCTAAATTGAAGAAGTGTTTTTAAAAAACCAACATTGCAGTTTAGGAAGAATTAAACTGTGTACAACCAGCCCAGGTGTCTGTCTGCCTGTAGTGAAAAGATGGGTGGTGAAAAATATTACCCTATCCCAACTTCCTTTAGGTTTATTGCATCATTTTGATATATATTTTTTCTCTTCCATGGAAAAAAAACAGGATAATTTTCCTCCTTTCTTTCTTGAGGGTTTTCAGTTTTCTGTTAGCACAGCAAAATCTAAGCTTGTTTCTAATCTTTCCAGCATGATGCAAATGATTTTTCATCCCCTGGCCCCTCCTCCCAACCCATCTCCAATCATAGGAATATATAAATTCCTTCTAGCCCCTCTCTCTATTGTGTATGTATGCTTTTCGATCCAAATCCCACTTCTACCCTTCTTGATTCAGCAGTGAGAGAGGTTCTGATCAGAGAAAGACCAGTACTGTGCAGGAGACGAGAAGAGATGTGGCTTGAGAGACCCAAGCAGGGTAGGTCCTGATGGAGAGGGAGGGTATGTGCAGAGGTGGGAGGCTGCATGCGTGCACACCCTGAAAAAGATAGCCTGATTCCTTCCTCCCCACCCACCCCTTTGCAAAGTACCAGTGATAACCTGTCCATGCCTTTCTCTCCCCGTGGAGTGGGTGAGGCAAGCTGGTTTTATCCCTCAACATCACCCCCCTTCATAACCTACAGTTGGGTCCCAGATCCATTCTGCTCCTTACAAGGGCCTTTCCCCCTCTGGCAACAACATCAACCCAAGTCTGAGCTGGAATTGTGATGAGGCTAATTCATAGTCTAAATCTGGTGGATCTGCAAGAGAGGTCTTGATCCACCCCCTGGCTTTGGACAAAGGTCCCCGCAGCCCCCTGCAGCAGGTAAGTGCTTATCAGGGTAACCGAGAGCCCCTGTGTTGGCAAGAAACCAGGATTCCTTTAGAGGGAGGTTTTTGTATTGCTCTGGATGCATTTTGTCACTGTATAGTGACCACAGTAATACATGGCCACGTCATTGACCCTCAAGCTGCTCAGCTGCAAATAGGCCATGCAGATGGAGGCATCCTTGCTGACAGTGAGCCCTGTAAGGCCTTGGCATAGTCGGTGTCCCCAGGAGAAGGGTTGATGCATGCCACCCATTCCAGCCCTTTCCCACAGGGCCGACGGGCCTAGTTAATGTTATTGCTGGTGAAGGTGTAACCAGTGGCTTTGCACATCAACTTCACTGACTCCCCAGCCCTCTTGATTTATGCTCTGGACTGGGTCAGCTGGATCTCACCTGTGGGGGAAGAACAACCAGTAGCTGCTAGCCACGTCATCTCTGCCTTTTGCTTCTCTCCCCAGACCTAGTCAAATTCTTCTGCTGCTCCCTCTTGGGTGCATCTCACCTTCCTTCAGGTATTAATGCTCCCAGAGACACCCCACTTATTTCAGGGAGGAAGATGGTCTCATCCTTGCTTTCATGAGAGGAAAGTGAGGCATAGAGACCAGCACCTTGAGGAGGGGATGTAGCTGCCTCTTGCCCAGTGAAGTAGGTGATGTACAAGCCTCCTGGAGAGCATGTAAGACTTGGAACTCCATTGTCATCATCCCCAGGCTGGCCTGTAACCCCAGCACTCTGTGATTTCCCAGTCAGGCTGCCCCATGTCCTCAGCATTACCTGAGCGAGCATCCAGGAAGAGAAGCAACCCAAGACCTGTCATCTTCATTCCATGCAGCGACCTTGTGGGCTGAGCACACTGGAGCTCTTCTCTTCACACCTCAGTGAGGATCAGATGCTCTCCTTTGTCAGGGTGGGGCCCAGTCTTATGTGCATGTGGTCACTCCTAAATCATATGCATAAAACCATGGTTTGCCCTATTGTGCTCATAAAGGACATGAGTCACCTGAAGGGGCAGCATCCTGGTGGCACTGTGCATCCCTGTCAGGTCAACCATGATTCAGGGAAGCACTGTCATGTATCCATGTCAGTGGGGCGGAAGCATAAGCTTCAACACAGGAATCCAATATCCAGGTGTATAACACTGAGGGTACAAGGGGTGATGCCCAAATCGATGTGACTGCCCTTGGCATGAATAGAATAGAATAGAATAGACCTGTAAGATCAGTCTCCTGCCATGGGCATGAGGTAATTGGGCTCAAACAAGCTCAACAAGGTGCTTGTCCAGCCTCCTCTTGAGTACCTCCAGGGATGGCAACTACACCACCTCTGCTGGGTATGTGTTCCAGACTTATGGAAGAAGACGTTTTTCCTTATGTCTAGCCTAAATTTTCCTCAAGTAGCTTGTGCCCATTGGACCTTGTCCTCCCAAGGGGTGGCTTTCTGAAGAGTTGCTCCCCTAGATCTTGGTGTTTGCCCCTCACATAGGGAGCTATGAAGTCACCTCTCAGTCTTCCCTTACTCACACTAAACACACTCAGTTTCTGGAGTCTCTCCTCATAGGCCCTATCCTCCAGGCCCTTGATTATATAGATGACCCTTCTCTGTAACCTTTTGAACTTATCTGGTCAATTGTCACCCCCACTTCCCTTTCAGATGTAGTGTTAGCCATTGGGACTCATGAATGGGAGCATGGTTTGCTGGTGAGTTGGGCACTGTAGGTCTCAATTCCCTGCTTCCCCCACCCTCCCCTCTCAAGAGCTGGACAGTGCGGTGTCATTGATTGGAAAAAGGCATCCTCCCAACATCTCTCCTTCATGGAGATGAGGATGGGAAAAGCCCCAGGGTCTGTCCTTAGTGCTGTCTTCTAGTAAGTCTATATCATTACTAACATGTGAACTTTTGGTGCCACCCAGTGGCTCTGTGACCTTGTGAAAGAGCAAAACTTGACTGAACCAAAGAAATGCTCCTTCTTTGTTAAACAATGCAGTGCAAGCCCCAGCCTGAAATAAAGTGACCAGGGTAAACTGGAACCCAATTCCCATAGGCTTGCTCTGAAGC